ATTTGTTGTTATAGACATATTTTGCTACAAAATATAGTCACTGCTATATGCGCACATATAAAAAAACGCACAAGTAGAATTCTCCCCTAAGTTAGATGTTATTTTAATAATCATTTTTTTTAGTTCGCCACATTCTCTGAAAGTATTGCACACAAAGAATATATTCATAATAGTGACCTTTTCCGCGCCAGGATTCAGTTACACCAAGTGAACAGTCTCTCCTATAGGGGGTATTGTATATTGAGAGTGTCGTCTAGGTAATGTGTTTGCCTCGTTCTGAATCGGGGTAGACCGCGACATCAAAGCCGCCATCTTGGACAATTGGAAATAGCTGAATTTTGTGGATATATTGGGTGGAGTGCCCGCCTTTGAATTCGATTTTTGGACTTTTAGATGAACTGTGGTGCTTGTAAAGTGGCCCAAAAAAGCACCAACACAATACAATGATTGTATATCATATTTGGTTTTGAAGAAGAACTTGGTTGCCTCTGGAAAACCGAACAAGAAGAACAAAAATGGTGTCCAGCTATCGCCGTCGACAGCTTTGACGTCTGTGCATTGTTTCACCAATCACGCACAGCCGAAGTGGATTTTCATTTATCATTTACCTCATTTGTGTCCGGCATTTGCCGTTACTGGCTTCGTCATACTTCTCGCACATTTCCTACATCGTTCATTTTTTCGAACTTGTAGAGCATCCGTTATCAAAGTCTCTGCTGGACTTAGTTTACCGGCCAAGGCCAGTCGTCATAACGGGTGTGGAAAGATGGCAATGAGTCGAGCGAGAGTCTATGCTGACGTGAATACTCACAGACCAAGAGAATATTGGGACTATGAGTCACATGTAGTAGAGTGGGGGTAAGAGAATGTCCTTTATGCATGGACTTTTGGTGTTATTTTTCAATATTTGTGGATCGTAAATGCAAGAATCTGGCAATATTCTTGACACGTCTTGTGCCGTCTGCACGTGGTCACATATTTTTAGGCGCCCTAAACCTTTCGACTGTGCTTGTAAAGTAGTTTCAGTGCATTCAAATAATAATAATTTCTTTGGGGTGACATGTTCAAAAATAATTTTAAATTCTTCGATTTTTGACAGTGAAACAAACGTCACAGTTGCAATTCAAGAATCCTAAACAGAGTTGGAAAATATTTTTTTGAAAAAAAAAAGGTTTATATTTTTGTGGGTTTGGTATGTTCAAGTGTAGACTTACTATACCGAATGGGTAGTTATTTGTTTTACTATGAAAATTGATTAGTTTTGATATATAATTTTCGTTAGTGTCTGAAGATATTGCATTTTTGTATTTTATTTACCTGGTATTCAGTCTTGTTCTGTTAAGCCCGCTGCACACCACCCTCCAAAACATGCAATTATGGCAAAATCATGCATTGCCAAGACTTGCAATGAAAAGTGCAGACCCGTAGCGCCAAGCACGACCAGGCACTGCAGTATGATGTAGCGCATGATTTATTCGTCTTCTTCCCACTCGCTCTGATTGGTGTGCTTTCACAATGCAAAAAGACTAGCAGTGCACACTACCAAAATTAACCAAAGGCAACGCGATAAACCGAACATTGAATCTATCACGTGACAGAAAACCTTAAATATGTTGCACCGCATACCACCATTTATTATGACACAACAGTTGGTCCGTAGATGGTGTGCTCCAAACTTTGGGTTATTTTCAAAATAACACTTGTCAAGCCTGCCGATTGTAGTGTTTAATATGAAGAACAAAATATTGTAAAACACGTACAATTTTAGCGAATTTGCCTCAATGCATTTTCTCATTGTAAAAATATACTTCATTTTAAATTAGCGACATCTTGAATTAGCAAAATTGCAGATTAGCTACATTAGCTAAAAAGATGTGTTTTACAGTATGTTGACAGATCTTGGGCAGCATTCAAGCCATTTGCAAATTGCCCATTCTAAGCATGTGAAGTTTATCTTAGTACCTGTACCGGTAGTAATGATGGGTATTGAATATTGCCCTACTTGTCAGGAACAGATTTTGTACAAGCTTGTAATTCTGCAAGGCAATTTTTTTACTGTTATTGAGTGAGAAAATAATTTAACACAGTAAGATAAAAAAGTGCTATAAATCATTTCATAATCTGACCACATTGACCAGATGCAAAATTATTCTGGTAAAGAGGGGGCGGGGGGGCTGTAAATGAATAGGTGTAACATTTCTTGCTAGTTTCCATGGGGGCTAGGATACAAAAGAACTATACAACAAACTGAGCCCTGTAAAATCTTGCACTTAGCAATGGCGATTATACTAGATTTGTTACATGAGCATTGTATAGCTATTTGGTGTTCTCTTTGTGGATAAAGATGTTTTTCATATCCGCAACACCTTGCATGTCAGTAGGCATGAAAGCAGGGTTTCATTAGTCATAATACAGTATACATTAGTAACCCTTAACAACTCTTGCGAAGGAAAACTTATCAGCTTCTATGTGGGAGCACAATCAAGATAAATTACTGCATTGCTTTGTTTGGATGAAATGTCAAGTATTCTCTTACCCAATAATAATAAAAATTTGTAAAGCATCATGGATCAAGCAACATTGTTTTGTTTCCACCTTAGATTTCAATTGACCATGGCATCTACACCCAGGTAGTTTGCGTACATTGCATATTTTTTGTAAGACCATCTGCTGTAATAAACAAAAATTTATCTATTTTATTATTTCTATAAGTAGAAAATTCTAACACTGTCTGTTGATTACACATGAGGTTGTAATAAATGTTTTATTTTCTATTTCTTTACCAGACAACAAGACGATTATCAAATTGTACGAAAATTAGGAAGAGGAAAATATAGTGAAGTTTTTGAAGCAATCAATATAACAAATAATGAGAAATGTGTAATTAAAATATTAAAGGTAAAGTTTATATTACTTTGCTATAAAGCAGCACCTAGTATAATTTTTCTATCTTACAAAATTTATTTTCTGAATTCACTATTTAAGTGTTTCACTGCTGTTATTTGATCATTGACTGACCCAATTCCATCTCATTTGAACGTGAAATGTGAATATTAGCGTCTTGAAAAGAAAACTTAATTTGCATAATGGTCAGTTGACAAAGAGTTCTGGTATTTTAGATATTCAGTATTTTAGAAAATGATTTTTATTTATGTATTGTCATGAGTATTTCTGTTTCTGAATCACGAGGACCATAATCATGTCTGGTTTATGTTATGTCATTTATACTACTTGCTACAACCAGTCTTTGAGCAATCGTATAAGATTGAAGGATCTTTTTCCAATCACTTAACCTTTCCTGTATTGAATCCCCATTTTCAGCCTGTTAAAAAGAAGAAAATTAAAAGAGAAATAAAAATTTTAGAGAATCTACGTGGTGGAACAAACATCATCAGCTTGTTGGCAATTGTGAAAGATCCAGTAGTGAGTGATTCCTTTCCTTTCAACTAATCGGTGTATTGTTTTTAATGTGTTATGTACTGTCCACTGACCTGCAAGTTGGTTTCCGGGGTGCCCAAAACTGTTGGTTCAGTTATATTCTATGCATTTGGGCAGAGACTTTTGATTTGTTATTGTCTCATATCTTATTTTGTTCAGTGGAGGATGCTTTGTTAATGCGTTCAAGGTCTTTGAATTTAATTACATACTGTATTCCACTTTTCTTAGGAACTATTTTTGTCAACACATTCTATGAACATTCTGGATAGTAGTTAGCCTTGATATGTTTTATTTATCTACCAAATGTTAACATGTTTGATACATATTGTCTTGCAGTCCAGAACACCAGCTTTAATATTCGAGTATGTCAACAACACTGATTTCAAGGTTAGATTTCATAAGTCTCACCATCATAATGACATTATTTTCCCACATCATCTCCTTTTGCAATTTGTTTTACTACTCTGATAGGGATGTTTGCATTAATAAGATTTTCATTTAGTCGAAAATAAAATCAAGTAGAATTTCATCATGGGTTTATTACATATTTTGATATATTCCTAAATATTACAGCAAATACATATAAATGAATATCTAACATATTGTATATTTTGTATTGCAGCAATTGTATCAAACCCTTACAGATTATGATATCCGTTATTATATGTTTGAATTACTAAAGGTGGGTTAAAGTATTTAAATTAATGTTATTTAATTTGTGAATTTCATTGCTTGGTTGGAGATTAAATTAATTTCATAGTTGTGATACGATTGATAAAAATGTAATTATCGCATAGCGTTGTGTTAAGTAGAGGTATTTCCTTAAATTTATAAATAACTCTGAAATAAATGTTTGATAGGTAATTTGACCCCAGTACAGTATTTAAGTGGGACAATTCAAAACATTTTCCAATGTCTTCCAGTAATTAACTTTCTCAAAGGTACTAGGTGTACAGTGGAGTTTAAATTTTATGGGTCAAAACTCCCAACCTTTACATTAAACAAGATCAAAGATGATCAGTACTTCAGCACTAATTAATCAATACTGTGTTTGCTCTATTGCTACCACTTGCATAAATTATAGCTGGTCATGGTCAAAATGGCTAATATTTTAATGATTTAGTGTAACAAATTATTAAATTATCTGCACTTCTATTGGAGATGTGCTTGAAGGAGAGCGAATAAGGTATTCTATCTAATCTGAATTGACATTCTTACTGTTATGTAATGCATTAAATGTTGCCAGGCTGCTAAGTATAACTTTGTAATGTAGTGAAGGGGCTTGCAATTTCACCACAGTGCCTTCGAATTATTTCTTGGTCATGCCTGGATCGATCACATTAAAACTTCACTCGTATATATCATGCATCTTGTGTTTAACATATCCTTTGTTCATGATCCGATTCAAAATATCTTGAATGCTATTTTAGTGCTAAAAATTCATCCAAATGCTCATACTTTTAAGATTGGATTTAAGATGGGCCACTGGTTTTTGGTTAACTCTTATCTGCTCAAGTCGATCTAAAAGTATATTGAGCTGACAGGATAAGTGTTTAAAAAAATGCTGCTCAGAGATTCATCTCTGAGATGCTATGACTAATGACATTGAAATTTCAAGAATATAGCATACCTTGTGTTACATATATGCATGTGCATTTGATCTATGTCCTAATTCAAGGTGGATGAATATCCATTTTTAAAGCTAAAAGTCAAAATTGAGTAGTTCTGCCATTCTGTATCAAAGCAAACTTTACACATTCATTAAACTTCATTTCAAGTCATGTCATGTCAAATTCTGATTCAAAATGAATCACTGATATCATTGAAACATGTTTTTGGATGCGTGGAGATAATCCACAAACCTGATGTGTTGGGTTGAGGTATATACATAATTACCGAGTTTGCATAATAATTAGGCAAATATCAGCTCTTCCACTAATATTTATAATTAAGACTGGTTTGCAGTTTAATAATAATAATCACAAATTGCCATAATGTGTTTTTTGTTTTTCTTCTTTCATACAGGCCTTGGATTATTGTCATAGCATGGGTATTACGCACAGAGATGTAAAACCTCAAAATGTTATGATAGACCATGAGCATAGAAAGGTATGCCCTTTTGTGTGTCCAGATATTTAAACTCAAATAGATTGACGTTTCTATTGTGTATTTACAGGCCCTGGATTACTGTCATAGTAATGGTATTATGCACAGAGATGTAAAACCTCACAACGTAATGATAGACCATGAAAACAGGAAGGTACGATGACTGACCAGTATGGCCGCCATGGTGTTTAACGTAATATCTCATATGGCATGTGTCTGTCATCTATCAAATCCTTCTTTACACTTTCTAAATTACTCGCTTTTCTGTCTGCACATTTTTTTCTGAACCATTTCTTTATTTATTTTTGGTCATTGCACTAAGCAACATTATCATACAGTTTCCATTGTGGCTTCTTTTCTTTTTTTTTATTGTATTTCTTCTAAGATTCTGCTAAAATTTCAGAACTACATCATTTTTATTTAACTGCATTATTAGTATTCCAAGAATCTTCCATACTAGGCCTCCATATCTATAATCAGTGTTAAATTTCTTGAATTATCAGCTTTCTTGAATCTGACTCTGTCAGCATTGGTTCTTTACCATACTTGGGGATAGTCAACCCCCATTGGTAAGTGGGGTAGTCATTTTTTCTAGAGTTTGATATAGAACTGTTGCCAGAGGGCTGAAAACAGAAAGCGATAATTTAAAATGATCACCACTTAATATACTGTAAACTTGAGTACCTTCCTGT